ACATACTTTATAACTATGATCGTTCCCATTTACTCAAATCCTAGATATATTGCTAGGTGATCTTGTTAAATAATTGCTATTATTTAAGATCTTAAAATACAAAATATTTTACTTGATGATCTTTACTAACGATTATAATCAAATAAAATAATTTTTTAATGAAACAATCAGTTAAATTTATCTATAATAGAACTTTTAAATGATGAAAAATGACTATAAATATGTGTTTTAATCATTATCTTACAACATACTAAAGTTAAAATAGTTCATATAACCTTGTCAATTTATAAAACATTATTGTATACATAGATTTTACACAATGACACATCTCACAAATCGAAAGAAAAACAAAACTATTCATCGATTGATTCAATATAATTACTCGAATGAAATTCGATACACATTATAATATGTTTTCTATGTAAATATTGATACATTATTGATGAATTCAAATGTATTTGACAATCATATATAGCAAAGAGCGTATTAGTTTTAATTGAGAATGTCGCCAACGGGACAAATCATCATCTCATGTTAGTTCTCACTATGAAAAACACACAAAAAAAAGCTTTTGTATGTGTAATCAAATTTTTTTTTTTTTCATTTTCTTGTCATATCTTTTATAGTCCGGAAAAAAATACTAAATAATTTATTCCATGCTCATCATTGAAATTAATCATTAATCTTTTGAAATAGTTACTGCATATACCGATTCTGTAAATACAATATCACCTATGTGTAAGGTGACATAGCACAAATATTCATCTTATTGTTTTATTTCATCTTCTCATTTGAATAGAAATTGAAAAAATGAAAAGAAAAGAAAACGATAATAACTTTCAATCTTATGATTTTTTTTTTTTTTTCAATAGCGGTAAATTATCTTTGATGATAAATCAACTATTGCATTTCAAGTGTTTCCGTTTTAAATTCTTGATTATTCAACAAATGTTCTAATAATCTATAAGATCTAATTGATCGTAAATAAGAGCCTAGATGATGATGTATACACATGTATTGTTGATCGATCAACGATGTTGTACAATCCTTTTTTTTTTTTTTTCTTTACTTTACTAAGCTTATAATGAGTATAGATGTGTTAAGTGGACAACCTTCACTTGCCTTGAGCGCGTGACGTACATAGAATTAAGGATTAGTAAAGATGATAAATAAATATTGACCTAAATCTTGCTTGACAGACTAAGAGAGAAAAAAATCCTCGTCTCTTCTTTCAAACGAAAACAAACAGGTACCGCACAAAATTTCATTTTCAAATCTATGCCATTCTGTTTGTCTGTCGCGTCGATGATGATGATGATGATGACAGTTTGTCTCGATTGACACGCACACATAGTCCCCAATCGAATCAAATCACGCGCATATAGAAAAAAAAAATTCATTGACAGCATCATTGTACATGTTTGTCACCCAAGCACAACCACTCGAGAGATGTTCGGTCACGCAACTCACTCACTTTCTCTTATAGATGATGATCGGTGTTCCATTGGGAATAAACGAACGTGTATATTCATGAGCACGAACAATTCAATCTTCTAATTAGGTTTTCTATTTTGACAAAACTAATGACGCGCATAGATATAGAATGTTGTGACAAATGTCTATTTCATTGTTTTATACGATCCGATTTCTCTTAACAAAAGTCAGCTACTTAAGTAATGTGAACGATAAGAAAATTGATCTCTGAAAAAAAGATGATATCATTTTCTTTCAGTTCTACTTTCTTTCTTTCTTTCTCCTAGAGCACACAAGTCAAGAGTTGGACAGCAACACGGTAAAATTGCTACTTAAGAATCAGTTGAAGTATCCTTCTCTTCTTCTCTCTTGCCAACTTGAACTATCGTTTGCATTCGCTTTCATTCACCTTCCGACCGACGGTAACGGAAGGAAGTCGAACGACGTCCGTTTAATTGGCATCGTCGTTCCCAATAGCAATAGAAACTAGACAACTATCAAAAGATGATGATATAGAAGATCTTTTGTTGATGTTTAAATCACGCACATTTTGAAAAACACAAAGAACTACCTAGCGGTTCAATATCACGAAAGAACTTCTATATATATATTGCATGTAATGTTGTCAGGAAACAATTGGAAATGTTTGTCGGGTTCCGTTTATTCGTTTGATCTATATTCCGGATGGATAAGGTGCTTGTCTATATAATTAAAAAATGAAAAAAGAAGAAGAAGAAGAAGAAGAATGAAAGACATTCTATGTCAATAATCGAATGGCATGAATCCCGCCTCCGGCTTCGCTTCATTACATCGAACCAACCCGTTTTCTCGTGGGAAATAGTCTTTCTCTTCTTTTCATTCCTAATGATGGATCAAACGAGTGATATCTTTTCGTATAGAACACTGTTGTTCAGTCAAGCACGATCAGACATATAAAAAATGTATATGAAAGGTGCTTTCTCCCACAACATACGCTCAAGTGAACACATATTGCAATGTACTTTTCTTCTTCTTCGTTTTTTTTTTTTTTTGTTAGTATTGTCGTTAAAATAGCAAACGACTATTTTTCTTGGGCCAACGGGCACATTAGCAAAGCTATAACACACATCGATCATCATCTATCGTTTGCAATGAAAATGTGAAAAAGAGACAAGAAGGTGTCAAAATGATTTCTCTCCTTCTCTCTTACGTGGAACATACGTGTGTGTGTGTGTGTGTGTAATTTCCTTTCAGTCATATACCAATGAGAAAAACCGGATACTTATCAACATCCGTTCGTCTAGTTTCAAAACTGAATATTTCTAAATATATATATCAACATAACCTTTATATATATACTATTTAAGCTTAATTCAGTAGTAGGCGGATCTAGCACCTATTCTTTTCTACTTTTTTTTCCTATCACAGATCAACCAACAAACGAGTACGATATTTTATTTGACACTCTGATTAATCGTCAGTAGCGTTGATGTTTATTTTAGTTCTAATACAGGTGAAACGAAACGAAACGAAACGAAAACGACATACTCGAAGGCATTAAGCAAATAAAATCATGAATAATAGAAGGCAAATATACTCGAATAAGCAAGCAGAGTATATTACTGTATACATATATTTTTTTTTTACCTCAATCATATATGCGTATATTTAAGATTTTTCTTTTTCTTTCTTCTGCTCAATCAGTTTTTCTGTATTATGTTTGATTGGAATAAAAACGGAAATGTATCTCTGGTGTTCTCGGAAGGTAATCGAACAGTTGATGCCCGATAGCTACTCAAGAGGGAACAAAAAAAAAAAAATGAAAAATCGATTGAAAATCATGATAGGCGGGGTGACCATAATGATGATCATAGCCAGCTGCTGCCTAATCGACACAGGGGTTCTTGATTTTTCGACAGAAGAAAAAGAAAACTTCCAAGCATCGTATGTCACGTTCAAACTCAATTATAGGTTATTCAATTAATTAATTATCATCGAAAGAAACAAGATTCTATATGGATAATTCATGCTGTGTAACTCAACACGTTGACAAGAGGAAACAAAATCATAATTATTGAGCAGAAGTTACGATTCGATTTTCGAGTATATGCACGTGAAAGAGATTAGAAATATAGAAAACTTTTTTTTTTTATTCTTGCATTGACAACTTATGTATATATAATTATACCAATTGAAGTGACAAATACAGTTTAACATATTTTATGTTATCACTTAATGATTAGATATTTATCTATGTTTGCTTGCCTTATAGGCAAATATTTTGTTATGTTTTGTTTTTTTTTTTAAAGAAAAGAGATTAGTTTTTTTTGTTATTCATTGCATCATTAACAAACAACAACGGATCAAAATATTCTACTTAATCCGTCTGATAAGTTGAAATGAATTTTATTGTTTCTTTATTTTAGGTTATTTACAATCCGGACAAATCAAAGCATTCAGTATTTCTTCTTCTTCTTTTTTCGATTCTACATGTCTTTCTTTTTTTTTTTTGTTTTGTTTCGATGTTTTATATGTGTGTGTGTGTGTGTATATACACGCGTGTGCGCGCCAATTGCAACAACAAACAATAAAATATTCTAATGAATTTTTTCTTTCTTTCTTAAACTCACTATTGAAATGATTGGTTGGATTTTCTTACTTGTGCACCAATCGAAAACAAATTTATATCAAATGGCAGCGCATTGGTGGAGAATAAGATAGAAAATTCTTCTCTCTCTCTTCATTCTTTCTGTTGCGTTCTGCTAACGAATGCGCTCGATTTTGTGCGCTCACATACCTGACCCGACTGCTATTATTCAAGTAGAAAGAACAACGTCAGAAAGAGAGAGAGAGAGAGAGAGAGTGAGGAGAGAAAATCTGCGTCGAACAATACACTCTCACACCTTTTGAGCAGCCGCATATATACACACATTCATATACGAGAAACCATGTGCTGCTATTGACGCAGTATACAATACGAATCCAATACTTAATATTTCTCTCAATCTTTTTTTTTTCTTTTGTGCTCCCATCCGTAGAGAAAAAGAGAGAGAAGAAAAAAAAAACGAGCTAAGTGTACGGCGTCGGCGTCAGACACATTGAGTATCGATAGGATTGTATTGTATTGAAATCATCATGATGGTTTCTTTTCATTAACAATCACACTACATACACATACATTACAAATACATACAAATACACCAGGTAAAGTTCTTCCTTTTATTCTGTAACAATAGAAAAATAAGGCAAAAAGAAGGAGGAAAAAAAAAAAAATCTAAACAATAAATGAATTGAATGTATAATTGCTTTACATATACTCAATCTTACAATTGAGAATGACATTTATCAACTAACTACTCATACAAACAGATAAAAAAAACAGCTGATAATGGTTTTTCTTTTTTTCATTCAGTCATTAACTAATGGAACAAAACTAAGTACTTTGATCATTTGCAATTCTGTATACGAGTAAGACTAATTTTGATCATTTCTATACATACATATATATATATAATTATATCGTTTTAGCTATGGTGTCCTTGTACAATATGGATTCAAATCCTGATTTACCTTTTAATACATCTCATTATCCACATCATGTTTCTTATCATCATGGTAATGTATATGATTCTCCAATTCAACCTCCATCATCAGCACCACCACTCAATTGGATGATGAATCCTCATCCATCTCATGCACATTTAATGATGTCACATCATTTACAAGTTCCTCCATCACAATATTCTAATGGCATGAATGAACCACATTCAAATTCTTCAAGAGATGAACAAGTATCCCCATTATCATCACCTGGAGCAACACCAACAACATCATCAGCAGCATTAACACCTAATTCTCTTCCATCATCACAATCAACAACAACGAATACTCATCAACATCATAATTCATCAATAAAAAAATCTCTTGATGATCGTGTTAAACGTCCTATGAATGCATTTATGGTATGGTCACGTGGACAACGACGTAAAATGGCACAAGGAAATCCTAAAATGCATAATTCTGAAATAAGTAGACGTTTAGGTAGTGAATGGAAAAGTTTAAATGAAGAAGATAAACGACCATTTATTGATGAAGCTAAACGTTTACGTGCAATTCATATGAAAGAACATCCCGATTATAAATATCGACCGAGACGTAAAACAAAAAATTTACAAACAACAACATCAACATCATCAACAGTACAAACAAATAATTCATCATTGATAAATAAAAAAGATAAATCACATCATCTTATACATCAACATCATCAAACAAATTCATCAAATCTTCCACCACCAAGAGGTTCAAGTTGGGCTTTACCATCAAATGTTCTTTCAGCATCATCATCATCACCTTATTTAACTGATTGTAATACACCTTATACAATGACAGATCCAAATACACTTTATGCACATTCATTTTCATCGGCACAACAACCACCACATATGTATCATTATATTCCATCGACAAGTACAAGTCCTCAACCACCACCACCGCATATGCAATATGGTTATAATAATAATATTAATGGTAATCATCCATATGCATATATGAAACCTGAATCTATGTCATCTCAACAACATTTTTATCCACCACTTTCACATCAAGATTATTCACCACCTGATCCATCATCACCTGAACAGCATATGTAAACAAAAGAAAAAAAAAAAGAAACGGAACAATAAAATAGAACATTTTTTTGTTTGTTTTTTTGGAAAGCCCGGTCGATGTGCAATCTATTTGAATCTCAATTTAAACGACATCTTCTGTTTTCTTTTTGTCTGTCTCTCTCTCTCTCTCTATTTTGTGTCGCATCGGGTGTATACGTGTGTTCGTGCCGTTTTGTTCGTTTTTTTTTTATACACATTCTCGCTATTGATTCCTTCGTTTTTTCTCTCTCTTGTCCTCTTCCCATTTGTTTGTTCACACACGCGACATGGATACACAGTGAAAAGGGAAGAAACGTTTTTCTTGTTGTATAAAAAAAAAAAAAAAAAAAAAGAAAATATATAGTTGAAGAAACATGGAGCCATTATATAAATAGTTTTAATGTCATCGTTTTCACGTTCTCTTTTCTATATACATTGTTTTAATAGTTCGTACCATGATATGATGGATTGATTTGACCCTGTCACGCATTCATTCGTTTCTTGTCGCTAAATGCACCATACCGGGATTATTCTGGCTGCTGTAAATAATCGATATACATGTATATATGACAATGAGTATGAACCATGACCCATTCGTTATTGATCGAAAGAATGAGAGAGAGAGCCGACTCGCTCTTGCTCTCTCTTTCTCTTTGTTTCTCCTTCATCTAGCCCTCCTGTTGCGTCTTACACTCTACACTTATCGTCGTATGAGGCAGCCTGTCCGATTGAGAAGGTGAAGAGAATAAATTAGTGTTGGTTCTACCTCCCAGCATCAATAAATAATCATAGACGACATTGTCTGAGATGGTGGTAGTAGTATGAATAAGAGATGAAAATTACTAATATGCATACTGGATAGAGAAGAAACAGAAAAGAAAAAAAAAGCAAGAAGAACATCTTAAATTATAGACGAGAGCAAGATTAGAGCCGAAGTAATGACAACGGATAAGCTCTCTATATAGTCTTTCTCATTTTTTTTTCCTTCTGGTTTCCTCTCTTGGGAACAATCGTCACATCAACTTTTCAATAATTGCTTATTATATATATATATACAAAATCTGAATTGATGTTTATGTGTTAAACACAAGGAAAAGATGTTTGACAAATTAAGAATAAAAAACAAAAAAAGCCTCAATTTGATAATTTCTTTAACCGAATAGGGTAATGATCATTATAGATAGATATATGTATGTATGTGTATATTATTCTAATGATTATGAACATAAAAAAAGAATATTGAAGAAAGAAAGAAAAAAAAAAAATTGGCTTGTCATATATGTTGTACTTAAATTTTCATTAAGGAAAGAAGAAGAGAACTTCATTGACTAATCGAATTCAGATCGTGTCGTTTGTCGACATTCACCAATTGAAAAATCAATGAATGGAACTAATCAAGCTGTCTACTTAATAGGAGAATCTTTCTCATTTTATCAAGTGGACGCATCCTATTAAATTGTCTGAATATATGATCAAAATTCAAGGAAAGTATACATTTATATTTAAAAAAATAAAACTTCAATTTCATTTCATTATATATATATATCGGCAAAAATTCGTAACGCGTCAACTCTAGTGCCGAAAAATTAAAAAACCGAGTTGTAATATCAATACTTTCGTCAAATAGGACCTAGCTCAAAGTATGCGAAATCTCTTCTTTGTTCTAAGAAAAGGTGGTTCTGCTCACATTTGTCAATCATCAATAAGATTTCGATAGGAAAAAAGAGAGCGCATTTTACTGATTTTCGTCATCGCGTTATGTTAATTAAACCGAAATAACAAGCCAGTAAATGATCTTTTTGAACAATTTTATTTTTTCGCCGGATATCCCATACTGTCGGCTATAAAGTCCTTATGAATCGCTTTTTCCATCGTAGTACGTATTCAGAAAAAAAACAACGAACAAACACATCATCCTCAACTTTTTGTCCAATTTTCATCATCGCGTTTTGTTCAGTGTTTTTGCCAGAATTTTCAAACGAGCTCTGGTTTTCAGGAATTGTGACAGAGTAGAGAGACGTATCATTTAATAAAAGAATCAAATTTCTAAGTGGTCTAGTTTCTAAAAGAAATTGTGGACAAAACGTTATCGCGTCACGCTTGTGAACGCCGATATATATATATAAAACTATTAGTAAACGACGAGCGACAGTTTGTAGATAAATCAGTTCAATTGAATTTTAATGATTTTTAGTAGATGTTGACAAGCCCAGTACTAGATTATATTTTCAATTTTCTAAGTTTACAGGTGCGCCAGAATAAATAGGCACGGTACGTATTTTATTTTTTCATCATCTCGTATGTTTTATTAAAAAACAAAATATATCACAATAATTCAATGTATAGTTTTTCATAAGTGCTTTAAGTTCTTAAAATAGATTATACTCTGTGTGAAAGAATTCTGATTCTGCGAGAAAATTATTTTTTTTTTTGGTATAAATCGAATTCCTTTTCTCTTATTTTTTCAATTAATGAGTTGTATTAAATGTGACAATCGATGGCCGATTTTCGATCAATTGATATATGTTTCTATTCAAAGTTTTGTCACTTCGATGTTATTTTGTTAGAGAAACATACGAACCCTCATAATAACAAATCACATATGTATAAGGGTGTCAGTTAATAAATAGAAAAGAAATCTGAAGACGTACGAAAAACACAAATTGCTAAACAATAATGAAGCTTAGTTAGGGAATTAATTGATAAAATAAAAAAAAACAAGAAATTTGTTGTATAGTAAAACAAATAACTTTTCTTCAGCATCGAAATTTGATTACATAGGATTCTGTTGATTTTGAGAACTAAATGTGCATATATAAAGAATCTTATTAAAGTAAGACGTCATCATTGAATAAATTTGTATGAAAAATAAAGTAATGAACATTTTTTGAGTCAAGAAAGATCTGTTCGACTAGGTAAAAAACATCATTCGTTGATTGAAAAGATTATTATTAGGATAAAAAAAAAATCGTTGAATATTGGTAAAAAATAATATTTTTTGTCTATCCATTTTCATGACAATTTATATAGGAATTTGTAGTTTGTAAAGAGTTCATAATATTTAGAGTGAATAAATTCTAATTCAGTGCATAGAATGATTTATACTTGATGAGGACATCATAATTTGATTGTATTCAACAAGAATTTGCTGATTTTTACATTTTTGAAGTATTTTTCATGGCATATCTATCGACATATAATTCGATTAGTTTGCATTAAGTAATAAGTACATAGATCAAGAAAGACATGTAAGATTTGATAATCAAGAATTTTTCTATGTAATACTTAGAATGTTCTTTATTTTTACACAAACAGATCATTAAAATTCATTGGAGTCGATTTTTATGCTTATTTTTAAAAAATTCATAATTTTTCATGTTTAGTAATATTTATAAAAATTAGTGTTTATACAAGTACGACCATAGGTTATACGCAGATACTGATAGAGTTAGATTTGGATGAAGTCATTAATAAACCATTCATCTTAGGAGTCATATCGAAACATGATAAATGATTAGACACTTGTAAAGGTGGCTTATTTTGGATTGAAATTAGGGTTGTTATTTTCAATTTTTTTTATGAATTGTATTGTTATTTATATTTCCAAGAATCGTTATTTTTAACATTTATACATGTGAGTTGCAGTATTCTATTTGAAATCATCCATTTTTATCGTCAAGATTTCTCGCCGATGAAAGATCATAAGAAAATTTTCAACTTTCTATCTTTTATCATTATGAAATTATTTAAAAATGACCGCAGAATATTTTTTGATTGGTTATTAGTTCTAATAAAGTTTTTACCATAAAAATTGTATTATTTATGAGTTTATATAGGAAATAAACTCATTCGAGAGAAATTATTTCAGAACGTATTGACATTCTTCATGTTTTTTTGAATATTTTAGAATATAATGGTAGTTGATAGAGTCTTGTCAAGATTATTTAGTCAACAATAAAATGTTTCCTATCGGTTATATATAGAGATAAGCACGAGACTTTCTTGTCTCGGTTAAAGATTAAGATATATTTTATTGAACGAGAAAATCAACTAATATCTTTTTGCAATAGCCGGGATTCACTGTGAATTTGCTAGATTGTTTCTTTAGAATAGCCTATTATCTTACATGAAGGGGTCAGTGCATTAACGATATTCTAACAATATTTAACGGTCTGATGAAAAAATTTTCTGCATCAATAATCAGCACAGAATCCCTAATGAACTGATAAAAAGTGAATCTTTTATCAATGGAAAAAAGAATTTCTGACAGCCAGACATCTGAAGAAGCTATAGGTGCATGGAAATTTATAGGGTTTTCTATTTTCATGCATAAATCGAACCCAGATACTCGGAATAAAAATTTAAAAAAGAAATAATTAAAATAGCCGATCTACTTCCTGAAATTATATATACCTGTAGTTCCCTCTAGGCATCTGGCGGTCAAAAAAACGTTTTTGTAAAAGATTCATTTATACCAAGTCATCACGGATGCTGTTCGGCGATATACCGACACTTTTATATAAGGAAATCGGCTATTATGAGGGAGCAATCGTGCAAATATACAATGAGTCCATGCTATTGCAAAAGATGTTAGTTTAACACACTAAAATATTAAGTTGTTAAGATCATAACCGAGACCTAAGAAAACGGATCAATTTTAAGTATGAAGAAAGCAAGGATGAAAGATATTCATCATAAAAAAAAATTGAAGAGCATTTCTAATTGTATCTAATTAACTTTTGAAACAAGATTTACATAAGTTTATGTTAAAAACATCTTAGTGATCATAATATCTACGAATATCACATATATATGTCACGAATTATCGTTAATATATCGACTCTTAAAACACTAAAATTTGAAGAAAACTTAATTTCTTGTATATAATTTGATGCATCGTATATATTTCTCTATAAAATCATAATTATTGCATGCTAGTTCAAGGTAGGTCATCAAATCTGGCAAAGTTCTTTCTTTGAAAAAGAACTTTCTTTTCATCGATGTTTTCGAATTGTTTGTGAAGATGGTAGATTTTTAAATAATTTTGTCTTATATAGTATCAGATAAGAAAATGTTCGGCATTCTTCTCTTTCGATTGTTAATATCAGAAGAGTTCTAGCTATTGCTTTTGTCAAATCATTAAGACTAAACCTAGTCATCTTTAGTTCTTGCATGAATATTACTTATATTTCAATAAATATTTTATTTCAATTAGATAGTCCAAATATTAAAACATCGAATTAATGAGTTTTTGGTTTATGCGGATAGTAAGTAAGAACAAATTGTTTGTAATAAAAATCAAAATCGTTTGCTAATGATGAATTAAACAGAAAAATTAGTAAATTTTTAAACATTGCATAATGATATGGATCAAATATTGGATCATGTATAAGATGTGCATCACCATATGATTTTAGTGGTTCTCGTTCCCAAAGCTGTGGTGGAAAGCCTGGATCAAGACGACGAGATGGTCTATGAAATTTATCAATTGTAAAATTCCGATGTTTTTCACAATAATTATTTAATAACATTGAAGAAAAAACTTGATCCATATACCATGCTGAATCACCTTTTGCCATATTAGAATCATATAATTGACCGAATTCTTGTCGTAGGTAAAGACTAATTGTATCAAATGAGAATGGAGCTTTATCAGAAAGTAGAATAGCATTTGAAGACGATAAATTCGAATTTAAAAGTTCATTTCGTTGTATTGATTCAAGAAATAAATTACGCCAAACTTGTTTTGAAAGACATATATGACACATTGGATACATTTGATAAGTTTTTTGTCGTCGTTTAAATGAACCACAACAAAATGTATTATATATAAATCCATCTGTATCGTTTTTCAGTATATAATTATTTTCATGTAATGGAACAATATCACTATCTGTTGTTATAATATAATCTGTATCCTTTATAATTTTATCGGATAAAAATCCACCAAAAATACGTACTAATTGTGATATTTTTGTAGAATATGATATATTACATTGAAAATCTATTACATGTACTTTTAATCGTTTTAATAAACTTTGACATAATTTAAGTTGTTTTGAAAATGTTTGATTCTTATGATAATTAGTAAAATCACCAACAAAAATAACAATTACTTTATAACCTATTCGTTGCCATGCAGCTGCTACTATTGGTGCATAATATATATATGATCGTTGTTCAGAATGAATACTTGCGGCAAATATAGCAAATTTACGAATCTCACTTGTTGATGATTTTTTAGCAGTTAGTGGAAAACGATCAAAAGAATTCAAAGTAGATATGAACCCTATATTGATACTTGGCCATGAAATTGTAGTATATGGCTCTATATAAAACATTAGGATACTAAGAATACATACCGTTAGGCAAATTAATAAAAAAAAGAGTTTGAAAGCCTATAAAGAGAAAAAAATTCTATTAATGTCTATCAAAAGTTAAGCAAAGGGCAGATAAATTGCGATGAGTAGAGGAAAAGCTGCCATACACTTCACGTTTTCAAATACTTCATTCTAGACGTCATCTGAGTCACAAAAATAAAAAA